TTATTTTGTTGAAGTTTTCAGCTATTCTGTTTACAGTTCTGTCACCAGATTATTTAATACGATTTGTTAAACACTCTGTTTCTTTTGATGTGAAATATTATTTATTTAATTTAATAAAAAGCAATGTTAATTTTGTTCAAAATTTGTTTAGTTAATTTAATAATATATGTATTTTTGAATCAAATATTCATCTTTATTGTCTTCATTGTTAGTTTCCACATGCCTAAAACAACCTGAAGCTAAATCTAAAAGTTGATGGCTAAATAAGAGCGCTTGAGAAATTGTGCAAGGCATAATAGTCCGAATAGTCGATTATCAAATTAGTCGTTTGTTGCAGCCCTATAAACAACACAAAAAGATTAGCTCAGTTTAACAAGTGTGTTTACTATTTTTTAGTTTATTAAATGTCTTTTTTTTATAACATCATTAGTTGGATAACAGTGAAATTGATGTGAGTTGTCATTGTGATAGGCCTAACATAACCTGTCCAAAACCCTGTGATATAATAATCATTAAAATACCACTAATGTTCTTGACACTTTGACAACTTTTCACTTCAGTCTTTATAAACCACCCACTCTTTGTACCTGATAAATGAGTAGGTTCAGGAGTAAATCCAGAGGGACTGGACTTGAATGAGAAGCTGAACATCTATGAGATACAGTTACTTTTGACTTGTGCCACTGATACAGAGAAGATCTTGCTTTGCTGTTGTCTTGCTTTGATTTCAATCTGGCAGGAAATTGACTTAAGCCATTAAAAAGACTTGATGCTGTTTACAGGAGTTTGACCCGGAAGAGTTTTATCACCTACTTGAGGCCGCCGAGGGTCATGCCAAAGTCGACCAGGTTATCAAGACGGACATCCCACGCTACATCATCAGCCAGCTGGGTCTGACCCGCGACCCTTTAGAAGGTAAAGGACTTTTCTGTCGTGAAGTCAAGCTACACACTTCATTAGCCTCAAAATCAGGTTTAGCCTGTTTAAAAACCAGTAAGATTCAAAGTTTGGTTTTCAGAGTGTTATTTGCAGTAATATTAAACACTGTCTTTCTTTCTGTTCTTTCTAGAGCTTGAACAGTATGATGCGAGTCCTTCAGTGACAGTGGACACAGACTCCAGTGTGGAGGTACATTTCCCTTTTTGTTATCAGACTAGCTGTCAGTGTGAACACTATTTGATTTTTGTAAAGGATATTCCATGATTTAAAAATAAGATAATAAATGAATTCTTACAAACATATTTTCTGCAATTTTATCTGAGATAAAAAATGCTTTATGTATATTGTTCCTGATTCCTCATGGACAAAATGTGATAATTATGTATTTAGTAGTTAGACCGCAGTATAGTTTATGTTTCAGACAGCAGAACAAGCCCTTGGACATGGTTGCTCTGTAATTATCCTGTAATTAACAGTATTGCTTTTACTGTGTTGCATTTTTAACTTGCCCGCTACTGGCCTTAAACATGTTTCTGCCTCCTTTTTTTAGAAGGTCCCACAGACACTGACACCGACTCGAAGGAAACCTTTTGAGAGTGACTTTGACACAATCAAACTCATCAGTAATGGAGCTTACGGGTATGACTTTTTTTTTAAACGTTGTCTACCTTTACTTGCTTTTTCAGGGTGTTGTTTATTCATTTCCAAACATTTTTTAAGCCTAAGAGCTACAAAACACTGCATAAAAGGGATCCTTGAAAATCCTCTGCATGCTAGAATATCCATATAACCTTTACAGGAAACCGTAGCAGTTTCATTTTATTTTTTGATTATACATAATCATCTTGTCAGAAACTAAGTTCCTCCTTTGATCGAACATCCAAAACAATTAAAAGGTGGTTTTTAATGAATTAAATAGATGATAGTCTAATGACGAGTTTGATGACTCCTTTAGATTCTCAGAACAGAAAACATTTTGGGACCTGCAATTACCACGATTACCCCAAAACATTTAAAATATCATCCACTACTACAATGGTGTCTGGGGAGTTAAATATGACACGGCAAAGCCAATCTTATGCAGAGATTTCCTATCTTTGCTGTTAGGTGTTAAATAAAGCTAAAGCGAATCCTTAATCCTAAAAAAACAAAGTGGTTATTTCTAATAGATGCAAAAAAGTCCAGTTAAAAATTTAATAAAAAAGTATTTTTATCCCTTTTAACCCCAGGTAATATTGTGCACTTCTTTTAAAAAATATATGCCAAAAATTAATTGATCTTTTCTTCCTTTTTTATTTTTTTAAAGCAATTTAAGTTGGTACCAACCACATGTAATAAATAATATCACTACATCTGATCATTCATCAATCAATATGCAACTTTTAGTGAGAAGGGAAATGTGTGGGTTTCAAAGGGAAAGATGCCACAGTACAGAGAATAAAGACTATCTTACTTCCATTTCACTCTGACTTTAAGTGTGAAAATAATTGGTTTAATGTGGCTCATATGTTTTTCTACAGGGCCGTGTATCTGGTCCGTCACAAGGAGACCCGACAACGGTTTGCCATGAAGAAGATAAATCGTCAGAACCTCGTCCTGAGGAACCAGATCCAGCAGGCTTTTGTTGAGCGAGACATCCTGACGTTTGCCGAGAACCCCTTCGTTGTCTCCATGTTCTGCTCTTTTGAGACACGACGTCACCTATGCATGGTCATGGAGTATGTGGAAGGTAATGATGAGAAAGGGTGATTTTTGTTGTTGTTGTGATTTAGACATTTTAATTATGCTCCTTACACACTAGTGGTAATTTAGTACTAGAAATAGGGATTCATTAGCCATTAACACATTTCCTATGGTTTTCCTATGGTTTCATAAAGGTGGGGATTGTGCCAACCTGCTCAAGAACATGGGCCCACTGCCTGTAGAAATGACACGGTTGTACTTTGCTGAAACAGTCCTGGCACTGGAGTATCTTCACAACTATGGCATTGTGCATCGGGATCTCAAACCTGACAAGTGAGAACACAAACTTCATTCCTGTTTTAAGCTTTTGCATGTACAACCACTTTCTGTACAGTATGACAAAGCACTCTTACCTTTCATTAGTAGGGATGTAACGATACCAACAACTCACGGTACGATAATATCGCGAGAAAAAGTCCACGGTACGATATTTATCGCGATATTGAAAAATAAAGGGAAAAAAATGTGATTTTTTTAATTAATTTTTTTTACATTTTTTTTAATTTATTAAATAATACTTCTCATTTGTACAGCATTTTAGTAGGATAGTAGTATTTTAAAGTGTCAACAATATAATAATCAGACCCTGCAATTAGTGCTGCGTACCGGTACGCCGAACCGGTACTGGACTTGTAAAAAGTTTCGGTTCAAGTCCGGTTAAAACCGGAACGTCGGGAACCGGTACTTACGTATATTCTCCTTTTTGTTCTAAACCATCTAAAACCTTCCATAGATCGAGAAATTTGCGCTGAGAAAAGACGAAAAACATTGTTTTGGCTTCTGATATGGCGGCCATTACTGAACTCACGAAGTCTCGCAAAATATCGCAACTGCTCGCGAGATCTGTGTGACGTCAAGGGAAGCTGGCTTAGACATAGTGGACACTGACAGCGTGGGATGCTGGTTGCCATATTTGGTAGTGTAGCTAAGCTAACTCCTTTGTATGTATGGTGATATAGTGTCTGCCGAAAGAGCAACACTTCACCCAGACAATGTCAATATGCTGTTGTTCTTGAACAAGAACACATTGACTTGTACTCTTGCATATTGAGTCTTGTATGTACATCACTATGTATGTAGTTGTGTTGTGTAGTTAGTAACACATGTAGAGTTCTAGAAAAGACATGGTGTAGACACAAGTTGGAAGGGGGCACAATAAACCTGACGAGTTTGAATTTGCGTTGATTATGAGTTTATTTTCAATTGATAATTAGCTCACAATAAGTTCACTTTAGTTACTCACACAACTTGACACAAGTCCGGACTTATAAGTCCGGACCTGAACCTGAACCTCTGGATTTGAGTCCGGACCTGAACCTGAATGTGAGTCCAGGTACACAGCACTA